TATATATATATATATATATATATATATATATATATATAAAGTAACATCCTAACAAAGAAAATAACAGAATTGAGAATTCAATCACACACATAACCAAGAAATTTAAGTCAAGGTACAGCTTTTAGTCATTTTGCAATGAGATAGGTAATTACCAATGGCCTGTAACTTCCCCACCAATATTCAAACAAAATATGATCACATTCCCTGCATATTTATGCCCCCCAATGTGTGAGCATGGGCTGATAAAGACTTGGCCACTAAGCTGTCGTGCTTCAACCTCCTCTTTAAATTTTTTGACTAGAACAGGCCCACAAAACCCACATCTTCGATCTCGACTACCATGAGCGCATACAAATACATGCGATCCGGTTAATACATCAGGAGTTCTTGAGAGCCACTCTTTGCCTTTCACAATCACATCTTCGACAAAAGAATCAACATCAAAGTGAGTCAAACCCCTGCACCATGCCAAAATAATCAAATTTACTTTTCATTTGTAATAAAAAAAATCAAATTTTTAATTTCTCAAAAAAAAAAAAACACAATTTCAGGAATCTAAGATTTTCATGTAACCATTCTCACTCCAAAAGGTACTCAAATTTTCAGTAATCAAATGTTCAAGTAACAATTCTGATTCAAAAAAGAAACATAAATCATATTGTATTAGAAAGAAAACCCACAGAACAAATTATCAGGAAAGCCCCAAGTTTTTTGTGCCACAACTGCATCCAATTCTCTTATTCATAATTAAATGTCTTCACCTATATCTGATCATATCTGGGAAAATCAAGACATCTCCATTAGAAGCCTCAGTTCCATCACGTCCCTCACATATGGTCAAGCGAGTCTGTCGAAGAAAGTCTACAAATCACAAGAAATAGAAGGCAGCATATAGACAACACTCATTCAAAAACATACGCCATTATGTTGTATGAGAAAACATACGCCATCATGTTGTATGAGACATGACTACTGTATATGTAGTTGATATTGATACCATATGCCTTTCAAAAACACTAAAAAAAAAGAAGAAAAAAACAGAGAGAGGGAGAGAGAAACAAAAACAACATGGAAACAAAAATAGATATGAAAAGGATCATCAATAATAAACCAAATGCACATAACTTTGAGCTGGAACCGATTACAAAATATAAACAGGGAAGAAAAAACTATTGTGGATGATGAATCATTCGAAACTTATGTATTTTTCATGAAAACAATCTCATATATCAAGTGAAAAAAATAACAAAAATCACAAAAGAAACTTATCAATGACAATCAACAAAACAAAAACCAGAAGAACACCTCAGGATAACAAATGAAACAAGGATTAAGGGATTCCTACCTTCTTTTTTATATCATTTTTCCTTGATTTGATAGCAGCAGCAAGAAGGCGAGGAAGTCTATCAAACTCAGAAGCCTCGACATGAGAAGGCCATGATTCAGGGTTCTTGTAACAGAGAAACAAGTGCCTTTCATATGAATCAACAGTCCCTACCAACGGGAGCTGATACATTTCTGATCGCTGAAACCCTAACTCCTCAAGCTCTCTTTCATGGCCACTCGATTCCGAAGTAAAAGTAGCATTTTGAAAAGAACTAGGGTTTATAGAGGATTCTGATCCCGTCCTACTAAAACTACTTGAGCTACTTAGGAGGGGAGGTGTGTTATCACTGAAAGGTGCAGCCATAGCACAAATTAGAGTTCCTGCAGAGAGAGGAAGGGAGAATTCAAGAGGGGAAACCAAATTAGGGTTTAAAAAAGTGAGAGAAAAAGGAGAGATGTGTAAAATTCGAGAAAAGGAGATGAAATGGTGAACACGGTTGGGTTCCATTTAAGAGCAGTGCCAGGTCAAGGAGCAGGCTTTTTTAAAAAAAAACTAAACGGTAAATAAGAAAGGAAAAGGACGAAAATGCTAGAAAAATTAATTTAGAAAAATTTAAAAGAAATATTTATTTAGAAAAATGGTTTCCCAGGGCTGCAGCCCTATCAAAATAAGTGAAGCCTCACCTCATAGCTCATCGAAAAATCAATTCAAGCATTGGAAAACCTTTACATCGATTGATCAGTAAAAAAAATAAAGATTTTAAATTTAAAAGAGTGTATATTGTAATAAATTATCAAGACCATCTATTTCACCCGGGAAATAAGTATTCATTTATTCGCAAGATCTGTACTGTGTTTTGAGTTTCAAATTTTATTGTCAGTATTGGAAATTGATTTTAGATTCATTGCAGAGATTTATGTCACCGAAAGTGCTTTCTGGACAAAAATTTGAGGTGAGGCTTTATTTTGCTTTCATAAAGCGTAGGCCTTATAAAAACTTCATCCATAAATTTAAGTGCATATGCCAATTTTATGGTTATTTAATAATAGAATTATATACAATGAGACAATTTACCTTTGGTATAAGGAGGTCACAATTTATTACAACCATTCAATATGAAATCTGATAGCTTGGATGTGTCATAAAGTTTAAGAAATTTTCATTTGAAGTTTGAGCTCAGCAAATGAAATAAATGCAATCATCTAATTTGACATACAATGGTCAAAATTAATTGTAGCTACTTTGTACCAAGCGATTCGTTTAGAAAGACAAATCCATGCTTTTCTACTAGAAAAGATGGATTCGGTTTGTATAAAGCTGAGGCCCTAAACAATTAAAGTAAGGTGCATATTTAAATACTATCGAAAGATAGCCTTAAGATTTATTTTCATTTTTAATTATAAATTTTGAAATTTTAAAAATAGTGTAGATTGAACAAATCTATAAACACTTGGAAAATTGGCGGTCCACAAAATGCATTACAAAATGCATTATTTTTAAGACTTCAAATCTATTTTTTCTTATGTCCATACATTTTAGGGTCGAGATGATCGATTTGAAGATTTTTGGGCATCGAAACAACATCTTTTAGTGAATTTTTGAGGTGCGCCTTAATTTGATTGTTTAGGGCATAAACTTTTTCCGTTAACATTCAAGGCACAACTAAAAAACCCGTTAAAAAAGGTTATTCCAATGTTGAAAAGCCCTTCAATTGATCATCTCAAACCTTGATATGTATGAAAATGGAAAAGAAAAATTTTCAAGTTTAAGAAATAGTGCATCTTGTAACACATTATCTATAATATCTATTTTCAAGTACTTGTAAATCTGGATAATCTGCATTAGTTTTTTAATTTTAAATTTTATAATTAGATGTAAAATAAATTTCTAGATCATCATTAAAATTTCCAACATCAAAATTACATCTTTCGACAAGGTTTGGAGGTGTGTCTTATTTAAATTGTTAAAAGTTGACAAGTTATTACGAAAATTTTATAATGTGCAAATAAAAATTTCTTGGTCAAAAAAAAAAAAAAGTTGACAATTTATGCAAAATACACCCTATAGAGTTTCCCAGTGCACTTTTTTAAATGGAAAATATAAGAAAAATTTCCGCGTATATCCCACATAAATATTATAATTAAAAAAACCCCCCTAAGCTTTATATATTGGGAAAAGTTTATATGAGTTTTCAACCTTAAAATGTAGAATCACATATGCACCTCAAAATCTATCGAAAATATTGTTTTAATGTTGAACAAGCCTTTTAATCAATCATCTCGACATTGAGATCTATGAATATGAAAAAAAAAAAAAAAAAATTGAATTTCGGAAATTGTGCATCTTGGAACATAATCTAGACCGTCCATTTTCAAGATTTTCATATATTTATAGGTCTACTTTATTTTAATCATTTTTAAAATTTAAAATTTTCTAATTAAGTTTGAAAATAGATTTTAAAATAATACTAATAATTTTTTACAACAAAATTTGAAAAAATTTTAAGGTGCGCTTTAATTGGATTGTTTAAAGTTGCAACCTTATAAAAAACCGCACCCTTATATATTACACGTGTCTTTTTTGTCATCGGTTTTTTAATTCCAATTTAGCCTCACTCCGGACATCGCAAATTCGACATCACCACGCGAGTTGATGACTTCAGATTTTCAATAACTTATAGGGTCCATGTTTTTTCTTTTTTTGACTTATTTTTCAAGAAAATCAAGGTCACTTCAGATATTAAAATATTCAAATCAAAAGTGACGAGTTTCAATATCTAAAGTGACTGGTTTTTTTCCCTAAAAACTGACTTCTAAAAAAAACAATATAACTAAGAATGTTGAAATCTCTAGTAAGTGACTTCGGATTCAATCTCAAGGGTAAAATTAGAATAAAAATAATAATATACAAAAGTTTGCAGGGATTACAATATTTATATGGAATATATTGGAAAAAAAGTACGAAATATATTCTGTTGAATGTTTAATTCTTGTTTTCATGTGAAATTGAAAATGTGGTGTTCTATTTTTGCTATGTTATGGGAAACTTATCTGGAAGTGATTGGCGCTCCCATTCTCTCTTGTTTTTACCGATGACAAACAACAAACTTCGTAAGATTGTATTAAATATAACATGAGAGCGGGCTATAATGGCAAAGATGCGAAAGAGTGTCGCACGATGCAATTGGAAAATATGGTTTGGGATTATCAAAAACGGCTATTTATCTTTTGTGCATGGAGGTCACATTCATTTTGTCTTTTGAATTTCATAATAGGTCGTTGTAAGATTACCATTGAATAACCGTAAAGTTCAAAAGAAATTTTTTTTTAACATCTTTACACATCTCAAGTCATCCAATTTGACATATAATGAGTGGAAATAATTATAACCTCTATATACAAAATTGTATATAATCTCTTTGTAGAAAATCTTAGTTAGTTACGCTCCTCCTAAGCTCTAACTTAAATAACATTTCGGTCCTTAGACTTTCTAATGTACGGGCGCCTATAACTTACCCCCTCGGAGCATATTATACATTTGCTCCCTTGGGTGAAAGACTTGCACAGGAGGATTTCTGTTTTGAAGTTTTAAAATCTACTTGGGAATCACAACATATGAGTATTATAAAAAATTGATTTTGACTTCCTACATACAAATCACAATTGTGACAGTCATTTTCAGTCCACATTTTTTTAAGACATATATGGAGCACATGAATTTATTTATTTTTTTCTTTTTGTTAAAATTGCTAGCTAAGTTGAGGAAGCTGCAGCCTCAATCCCCAAAATTTGGTCCTAAAGAATCTTAGATGGTTTTACCCAGTGTTTTAAAAACGCCGAGTCGAACCGTACTCGCTCGGTTCGACTCGGAAATCGCAAAAAGGGGATCGTATCGGCTAAAAAATCGGAAATCGTCCGGTTCTAGAGAGAACAGGACGATTCTGCACAGTGACTCGCCGAGTCACTGTGCGGAATCGGTGAGTCCGTGAAGAACACGGGTTGCACAGTGTTCTTCACGGGATTCTTTGAAATTTGTCATTTTTTTATCATTTTTCTTGTTTTTTTGGCATGTGATCTAATTTGCAGGCTGTAAACAGCTTTATTCAGCTTTTTTAAGGATTAAATGGTTGAAAAATTTGGTGTTTTTAGATCACGAAACTTGCTTTTTTAGGGTTTTCGCCCTTTCTGAAAGTTTCATGCCAAA